CTCTGTTAGGTCTCTGCCATTTTGGTCCTTTATCATGCCCATCTTTGCATGAAACGTTCCCTTCATATCTCCAATTTTCTTGAAGAGATCTCTGGTCCTCCCTATTCTGTTGTTTTCTTCTATTTCTTTGCACTGTTCATTTAAGAAGGCATTCTTATCTCTTCTAGCTATTCTCTGGAATTCTGCATTCAATTGGGTGTATCTTTCTCTTTCTCCTTTGCCTTCCCTTCTTTCCTCAGCTATTTGCAAAGCTTCCTCAGACAGCCATTTTGCTTTCTTGCATTTCTTTTTCTTTGGGATGGTTTTAGTTGCTACCTCTTGTACAATGTTGCGAACTTCCATCCATAGTTCTTCAGGCACTCTGTCTATCAGATCTAATTCCTTAAATCTATTTGTCACCTCTACTGTATATTCATTAGGAATATGATTTAATTCATACCTGAGTGGCCTAGTGCTTTTCCCTACTTTTTTTAATTTAAGCCCAAATTTTGCAACAAGAAGCTCATGATCTGAGCCACAGTCAGCTCCTGGTCTTGTTTTTACTGACTGTATAGAGCTTCTCCATCTTTGGCTGCAGAGCACATAGTCAATCTGATTTCTATGTTGACTGTCTGGTGATGTCCATGTGTAGAGCCGTCTCTTGGGTTGTTGGAAAAGAGTGTTTGTTATGACCATCGTATTCTCTTGACAAAATTCTATTAGCCTGTGCCCTGCTTCATTTTGTACTCCAAGGCCAAACTTGCCTGTTATTCTGGTTATCTTTTGGCTTCCTACCTTAGCATTCCAATCCCCCATGATGATAAGGACATCATTTTTTGGTGTTAATTCTATAAGGTGCTGTAGGGCTTCACAGAACCGGTCAATTTCATCCTCTTCAGCACCAGTAGTTGGGGCATAGATTTGGATTATTGTAATATTGAATGGTTTGCCTTGGATTCGAATTGAGATCATTCTGTCATTTTGGGGATTGTATCCCAGTATTGCTTTTCCTATTCTTTTATTGACTATGAAGGCTACTCCATTTCTTCTGAGGGATTCTTGCCCACAGTAGTATAACTGATGGTCATCTGAGTTAAATTCACCCATTCCTGTCCATTTTAGTTCGCTGATTCCTAAGATGTCGATGTTCAGTCTTGTCATCTCTTTTTTGACTACGTCTAGTTTGCCTTGATTCATGGATCTTACATTCCAGGTTCCTATGGAGAAAAAATCTTTACAGCATCGGACTTTCCTTTCACCACCAGATATATCCACAGCTGAGCGTCCTTTCGGCTTTGGCCCAGTCGCTTCATTCTTTCTGGCGCTACTAGTACTAGCCCTCTGCTCTTCCCCAGTAGCATATTGGACACCTTCCGACCTGAGGGGCTCATCTTCCAGCGTCATATCTTTTTGCCTTTTAATACTGTCCATGGGGTTTTCATGGCAAAGATACTGGAGTGGTTTGCCATTTCCTTCTCCAGTGGATCACATTTTGTCAGAACTGTCTGCTATGACCTGTCCATCTTGGGTGGCCCTGCACGGCATAGCTTATAGCTTCATTGAGTTACACAAGCCCCTTCGCCACGACAAGGCAGTAATCCATAAAGGGGTTTTATGTATTTAGTAAGCAAATTTAATTTATTCTATTTAAATCAACAGAGATAACTAACTAATTGCTCTTTAGGCTTTCCACATTTTGCTGATTTTGAATTTTCATTCTAACTTTAACTTTTTTTTTTTAAAAAATGGCCTTTTGGGGAGAAGATAAGGAAGCTATGTTATTTTTTTATCCAGTTAACTGAAATACTTTAATTTAGCAACTTTCAGAACTGGAATCTCTAAGATAAATAATGAAAGAAGTTGTGCACTTGCCTACTTCATCAGGAAAAAAGATTTTTCTATGAATAGATTTTATTATTTCTTTCAACATTGTATTCTTTGATGAGAGATGAAAGGTTGGATCTAGGTTAATGATGATTCATATATCATACTGGGCAAACCATATAGCTCCAAATGCCTTGGGCTGTTACTAATATTGCTAATTTTGAGCTGCAAAATGTTAATCATCTGCAATAATCTTGCAATTAATTTTCAGTGTGGCATCTTTCCTTTCAAAACATACAACTTATGCTTCCCTTAATTTTATGCAGGTATTCTTCTACCTGCATTTCTTTGTTTAAAACCATGGCTTAAAATATAACTGTAATTTTGTGTACTATATACAAAAAAGTCATGTCTTGTGGTTTGAATTTTTGTGGTCTGCATAGTTAATCAATGACAAAGTGCTCTTTCATCATGCTAATCCTCACATACACTTCACAGGTATTTGCTGAATGAGAGCATTGCAGAGACATTTCCACCTCTCCTTCATAAAAAGGAGACTGGATCATCCTGCCAGAGATGCTTCATAGGCTACAGCTAATGAACACAGTAGCTTATTAACTATGTCACATAAAGTCCTGTCTAAAGCCCTGTTTATCTTGGATCATATTACCTCAAGAATATCTTTTATAATATTTCTCTCCTTGCTCACTGTGGTAATCATTGGGTTAGAAAAGACCTTGTAAGTTTTCCATCCAATGCCTACCCCACAAGAGAAACCTCACATCATTCCAGGCATAAGGCTGTTTACCTATGCAACCTTTGCTTAACCACCTCCGTAATGGAATCCCTGGAGCTTTAGGAGGCAGGCTGCTACTCTCCATTGCTTAATAATTCTCACAATCAGAAAAATCCTTCTGCTATCACATTTGGACTTCCCACTGTAAAGTTTCCACTAATTGTAAGTGATCGAACGTAAGTGATGTAGAGAATAAATCCACATTTCTTTCCTGTGATAGCCCTTCAGAATTGCAAAAGTGATATTATGTCTGGTCTTAATCTCACCTTCTTTACCTGGTTTGTTTCAACATTCTTCAGAGGATTTAGGCTCTAGGACCCTCACCATCTTTGTACTTTTTCCAGTTAATCAACATCTTACTTGTATAGTGGTAACCAATTACTTAAGCACAGTTTGACCAGCAGAACATAGAGCAGACTGGAACTATCACATTTATAACAGAGGAGTGAAATTATGGCCCCTTTATAATTTGTGGACTTTAACCCCCAGAATTCTGGGAGTTGAAGTCCGCAAGTCATGAAAGGGCCATAGTTCCCTTATTTATAATTATAGAAAATTCTTTCAAATTGTGCTATGGGTACAAATGCATTATCTGTACTGTTGAGAAACAAATTCTTCATTAAAAAGACCTTTAAAGAACACTTTGCACAATTTTTAAACATTGGGAAGTTTAATGTTCAGTTAAAAATATTCTTAATTTTATGATTTTACTATAAATCATTTACTATATATTGCCATAAGACTAAGGTAGTTGATGGTTATTCAACTACTGAGATGTCAGACCCTTCATGACCCCATGGACCATAGCATGCCAGGTTCCCTTTCCTCCACTCTCACCTGGAGTTTGCACAAATTCACATTCATTGCATCGACAACACTATCTAACCATCTCATCCTCTGCTGTCCCCTTATCCTTTTGCTTTCAATCTTTCTCAACATTAGAGTTTTTCTAATGATTAGTAATGGTAAATAAATAACAATATTAGTAAATAATATAAATAAAAGAAACAGCTTCTGTAGTAAATTAATAATTTTATAATAATATTAATAAAAAATGGATCCTATAGTACAGAACGCTACTAGCCTTCGGAACTGAATATTACTGGAAACTATACCAATACTAGGATTACTATAGTCCCTTAATATAAGGAGCTTATTTCTGGGAGATGCTACCAGGCCCATCTGTATTTCTATTCTATTTTTTTCCTGCACTTTAGCAAGCAGCATAATTGTACTTTTTTTCCTTTTTTCCAATGCATAATGGAAGCATATAAACAAACAAACCCCTATTTTACTCCCTCATTTCAATTAGTTATTGGCAAACTTACAGTAAAATTTTATTGATGTTTGTGGGGTCTAGGATTGGGAGTGGATGAAGATATCTAATCTACAGGTTCTATACTTCTACGTTCAAACCTTCTTTCCCACCTCAAAAGAATGCAAGTTATTATAATAAATATATTGGCTTTTTGTAATTATTATTTGTGTTTTATAATCAGGCTTAATATTTATAATTATAAAGTAATGCACCAGGATCTAAAAAATATATTAAGTTTTAAATAGAAAACAGTAACGAAAATGTTCAAAATGAACTTTCTCTGAATAAAATCCCAAAATTTTATATGCAGAACTTCAGATATTTGGAACTATCAAAAAATCAAATAAATTATGGTTATTATTCTATTCTAATAATAGAATAATACAACCTCCCAACTAATAAAACTTGAAAGATTGTTCTCTGGTTTTCCACTGCACTCAAAATTTAAAAGACTATGTATATTGAGGAGCAAAAATACAACACTGATGTTGAAAATCAAACCAATTGCTACAGTTAGAAAGACTTTTAAAATTATTTAATGCTGCACATGGAACTATTGAAAAAGTACTTCAAAAGTATTTTCAAAGTAGTAAAGGAATTATGCAAAATTAATCTTCAAATACATAAATACATTTTTCTTTCTAAGAAGGATTTGGCCTCAGCAGTGAATTGTGTTTTATTTTAGAGGTCAAGAAGTATACACATGTTGCTTGAATTCCACTCTTCTTAGCACACCTAGGCTAATCAGCTTCTGAAATTTAACTAGTATTTATGATGTACTTTTAAGCTTATATGCTGAGAAATACATAGAAAAACATACTCCCTGACACACAGTAACATTCTTGACATAAGAGATAATGATAAATTATTCTGATGTTGTGTCAATACTAACGCAACATGACCACTCAGTTGCAAAGTCTTGTTCTGATATTACTAACATTTTTAAATCAAGCCTAAAGAATGCCCTGGAATGCACTATTTAATGGGGGTATTCTGTCTCCCTAACTAATATCTCACAACAAACATTTCCTTTGCCACATATTCAAGTTATATAGCAAGTTATAAATGTATAGATTGTGTCACCTTGCAGCTGCGTTGGTGATAATTTTTAAACTGCTGGGATTACGGATAAGCTTGTCCAAGATGCTGACAATCTGTTCAAACTTTGGTCTGTTGTTTCTGTCTTTTTGCCAACAGTCCAGCATCATCTGATATAAGGCAGCTGGACAGTCCATGGGTGGTGGCAAACGGTATCCTTCCTCCACTGCTTTAATTACCTGCACAAGGAAGACAGTTTGTAGAAGCTGAAGGACATTCAGTTCACTTTTCCTTCTTCGGTTCTGAAAATGATATGCATTACATAATCTAATGTGGAAGTTTAGTAATTAAACAGATGTATTTTATTCCTAACTATTGTGAATCATGCCTATTCTTTTTCATCTCCAAAATAAGCCACTTGACAATACAGAGATACAAAACATGACGGAAAAAGCAGAGGATAATTACATATCTTTGAAGAAAGTGACACTCAATCTTGTCCAATGTTTAAATTTGATTAGACCAAATACGGCTCAATTTATACATTTCCTACAGTACTAGCTTAATTACTCCGAAGAGAAAACATCTGGATCACTGCTGTATATTCATCCCACCTCCTTCAATAGTCTTATAGGAATTGTTATTTGAGATCATATGAACTTACAAAATTGCTTTATACCAGTCCATAGTTTAGCATTATTTATAATGACTAGCAATGAATCTCTTGGGATTCAAATGGAGGACAGTTTTCCATCTTTAACCGGATTAGCCAATGACTGAAACAGAACATAGCCAAAACCACAATAATCCTGCTTCTAATATTTAAATATTTCAGAATCTTAATTTATCTAAAAATCTTGCCTTGGATAAGATCCAATAATACATATATGGAAACTCAATATGCAGGAACAATCTTTTTAAACTACTTTTGTTAATATAGAAATATGAAAATGTAAACCATGATTCAGACAAAAAGGCCGGTATTCAGCTATTAAATATCCATTATTGGCTAATGCCTTAGCATTACACACACACACACACACACGCACATGCCCGCATGCATGTATGCAGTTTGCCCCTTGATATTTCAGAATTTCAGATGAGAAGATGTAATATTTGTAGAAGCCCATAAATATTATTAAACTAAGTCTGGAAATATTATGAACCGCACGATTAGCAAAATTTTCATAATTACCATTTCTATATACTGAGGTTTTGATTTGAGTATTGCTGTAGTTTGGTTTATTGGTTTCAAATCAATCAAAAATATCAGAAAATGATCCAAAAGCAGCAAAAAGCTTTAAAGGTATCTATTCCCTAGGTTCTTTTAGGGGGAGCAATTATTTCTAAATCATATTTATAATTTTATTATTGTATTACATATTCAGTTATGCAACAAAATAATACGTTGACATTAAGCTGTATACATACAAGGTTGCACATATATTTATGATAAGGCAATATATTAAAAATATCAGCAGCTGCTAAAAGGTTTTTGAGAGCCAAACATAGTAGTAATTAGAGAGCAATTTAATTAGGTTTCATATGTGTGTTCAACACTCATGCACTTGTTGGCAAATGTTGTACAGCTCAGTGCATGTAAACAATGTAAGCCAATTCACAAAACAGTAATGATATTTGGTACAATAAAAATTTAAAAAATAAAATTATGGCAGAATTTATACACTAAGTAACAAGATGACTATATACATTTGTTTTTAATTATATGTAAGTTTAGGAACAAAACAATTTTATTTGTGATGTATGTATAACATTAAAATAAACTGTACTGTGTAACTGGATCATGTCAAGTAAATCAAAGTTAAATCAAGTGCACAAAATGATATTTTTATTTATTGGAAAATACTATATTCCAAAGAAGCATAACTGCAAAGCAAAATATAATTATTTAAACTGTTTACATGAAACAGTTCTAAGAAAATCAAATAGTCACTTCACATAACATATGTAGTATTTCAAAACATGTTCTAATTATTAAAAACTTATACACAAATATTTACTTTCCTTTTGTAAAGTTCAGTTTAATCTGATCTATAACACTCATGGAATAATTCAATTAAAAGAAATCAGGAGAATTTAATGAGGAACTCTAATCACTGAAATTTTAATTTAAAACAGTTTGGCATTTTATGTCTTACTTGAATCTGTTTTCTTCTTCTATTTTGTAAAAAAAACATTAATTGTTTAAAAAGCTTTTTTTAAAAAAAGAAGCAAAAAATCTCCCCCAATAAAATAAGCCTTTTCCAACAAACTTTGATTTTTTTTCCTGTGTAATAATTGTCTATATAATTCATTGTACTCACATCTTGATTAGACATTTCCCAATAAGGTCTCTCTCCATAGGACATTACTTCCCAAAGAACAATACCATAGCTCCATGCGTCACTGGCTGATGTAAATTTGCGATAAGCAATAGCTTCTGGAGATGTCCAACGAATTGGAATCTTGCCTCCCTATAAGGCAAAACCATCATATACACATATATCTGTGCCCTCAATATTTTGAATAGAAGTCAAACAACAATAAAAATATTGCTGATTGTTTTTATATTTATTTATTTATTTATTTACGGACTTATATGGCCACTCATTTCATAAAATCACTCTAGAAAGCTCATATAACAATCCATATAACTATCTTTACCAACAAAGCCAAGGAGCTGGCTTCATTGTGGCAGTTTAAAGTTTTATCTAGACACGGAAGAAGCTAACAATCCATACAACATAGTTTAAAATTTACCAGACAAAATATTATCTTAAACCATATTTTCCAATCTTGCCCTAGTTTATTAGGATTAGTCTATGTATATAAAAAGAAGTGCAAAATTATGTTATTTGGAAGGGCACAATATTCCTACATAACTATTTTCTCTTAATGAAAAAGTCTGTATATAATACAGATATAGTTATATAGGACAGATACATATATGTACTGGTACTATATTGGCTAGAAACTGCTTTCTGTGGAACTGAAAAGAGTATTAAAAAATAGTACAGAATTAATTAGCAATAATAAGACATAAAGTGGAATCCTATAAGCATGTACTGAAGTATAATAACTTAAGAGGACTTAATGCTGAGTGGATATTTACAAAACATGCATATTAATCCCCTGTGGATAGGTTGGTCTGACCGTCTAGAATTCAAAAACTGTTTGATGCTACACAGATTACAAACTGAGAGCAGAAGGAGTGGAAAGAATCGTGAATTCTGCTTTAAGGGTCTTCAAAGAAGAATACAATTTGAAAAAAGGAATAAAGGCCTTAGAGTAGTTCAGGATTTATGTAAACTTTACCATTGTGATTGAAAACAACAGAACAATTAAAGCGCAATGTACTTGCTACTATACTGACCAATTTCAGTCAGAATAAAATGGTTATATATGTGCACAATATCTGTATATAGTAAGATTTATCTGCAGCGTCTACATATTATTTGTGACTCAGACGCTGCTTTGTTGCAATAACTCCTAGATCAAAAAACTCACCCTTGTTGTATAGGCAGCTTCTGGATCATCTTCCAATATGCGGGAGAGGCCAAAATCAGAGACTTTGCATACTAAGTTACTGTTGATGAGTATGTTGCGGGCAGCAAGGTCACGATGGACATAACCCATATCGGAAAGATATTTCATGCCAGATGCAATTCCTCGAAGCATTCCTACAAGCTGAATGACTGTGAATTGAGCATCATGTTTCTGCAAACAATTTAAACAACCTTTTAGCCCTTCAGTTTACATAAGGCTTCTACTCAGAAATAATCTACACATCAGTATAGCTTGGTTTTGAAAATAGTGTGCTGAAATGCACCAGTTAAAGCAAACATAAATCTGATACGTATTGCCAAATAAGACATCATTCTCTCACTCACTTGCACTCTCTCTCTTTCTCTCTAACATGAACACAGAGTCAAAACATGTGTACTAGCCCAAATCAAATGTCTCTGACTTGTCCAGATTGATGAAAACTTTTCATTTTAATTTCCTACATTAATACATGGAAAATTTGATAAACTAAGATTGCATATATAATGGATTCAAAATAAAGCATTCCATCTAAACATGATCTTTGACTCAATATTATTTTTCTATAAGCCTAATACAGCTTCATTCTTTCTGGCAAAACCATAGGGCTATTAGCAAACTGAAACAGTTCCATTATAGATATAGCAGCTGAACTTTTAGAACAAGTTATAATTAACATTGATAAGGTTTCATTTGTTTTTTGTGATTTACCTGCTGGGTAAACTATAGTCATCTTCCTACAATATATTGTGTAAATCCATAAAGTAAATGTTCTCAGTAACTAGTTAAGTTAAGAGCATTCTATGTATGTAACAAATATGCAGATTCTTTCCAGATATTTGCATCGAAATTTATTCTAGGACTGAAATGGAAATTATGACCCTAGCTATATATATATATATATATTATGTCAAGCCATATGAACTTCATCTAAAATGAAATCTTAGTTTAAAAACTTAACGGTTCTGATATTAGACCAAACACTGCATGAAATAAATATAATTATAGTATAAATTACCATTCTTCTAAAAGCTGTAGTTGCGAATAGAGCTTCATGTTGAATCTGATATATGCAAAGACACTTGAATAATGCTTAGAAAACAGTAGACTTAGATCTTATTTGACTTTTTTTATTGCTTTGTTGGAAATGATTGATTTTTATCACTCTTTTCATAAAAAGTAATAATGTTTAAAAATAATTGAAGTTCCGTTCATCTAGATATTTATCTCTTTAAGATAGTGGAATTTGTATAATGCATAACTAGAGGATGACATCAACAAGTCACTTACCCTGAGAAAGCTATCTAAAGAACCATTTTCCATATATTCAGTAACAATCATGACTGGTTTACCTGAAAAAAAGTATTAGACAAATCAATTAATTGAAAAACAATGGCTGTATAAAAAAAGTCAAAATTGAAAACTTCTGCAAAATATGAAAAACATGCTTTAATATTCCTATAGTATTCTAAAACTGAAGATGGCTTTCAGCAGCAAGAGTTGAATACCATGGGCATGACTATGAAAGTTTAACATTCCATCTTTCTATCTCTATATAGCTTGATAAATTGCATATATTTTCTCTAAATGTATTATTATGTGGTATTTACAATAACAGAAATGATATTAACATGAGGACAAGATTCCTACACAAAGAGTCCACTTTTTATTATAGTAAGTTATATTTAGTTATCAGATAGATAAATATAATATTTATTTATTTAGCTGCTTATTTTTTTTAACCTTTATTTAGTAATTGAAAAATCAGTTCAAATTATAATATTGGTTCAAAAGTAAAGCAAAGGCATAATTATACATTCATTTATTGGAAACAATCATTTATTTATATATTTTGTTAGATGCCATAGAATTAAAAATGATGAAATTAAAAAAGATGAAATATGGTAATATCTACAATAATATTATAGCATGAACATTCTAGGTTTTTAAGTAATTAAGTAGAAATTTCCATCTAAACCCATAATGCAATTCAGAATTAACTTAATGACAATTTTAGGACCCAAGCTTGTATTTTTCTGAATGTTATTTCTATATAAAACAGGTATATTAAGAAAATGTTTACAAGTACACATGTACTATTTATATGTATATATTTATTGTATAAAAAGAATCACAAAATAATGCAAATATTAGCTCTAAACCATTGGTGTTCAACTTTTTTGGCACCAGGGACCAATTTTGTGGAAGACAATTTTTCCATGGAAGGGGGGGGGGGAAATGGATGGTTTTGGCTTCACTTGCCTGTGTTCATCTCCAGTTGTGCAGCCTCATTCCTAAGCAAGGCCGTTGGGGACCCTTCCTCTAAACTATTCACTAAGAAAATTGTGTACTATGGAATTGCATACAAAGATACATTTGGATTACCAAGTCTGCATTTGATGCAAAATGGACAGAAACAAATTTATAAATTATTAAAAGAACAGAACTTTTTAAAAGAGCATATAATCTGATGCCTTATATCAAATATTTCTTCCTAAAATTCCATTTGTTTATTTAATTCTCAAAGCTCCAATTCAGGGGGGGGGGAAAGTATCTATCTATTCTCTAGCTTCTAGTGCCTTAGCCACTAATATATAGGATAACTTGCTATTGTTGGCAAAAGAAGGTTCCGGATATGTCCTTAGGTAAGCACAAAAGATTATCATAGCAGAGTGCCATCATGTTCCACTTTGACTAATTAGCCAAAGGGAAATGTGCTTAGGATAATTGTTTAATTATCCCAAGTGCTAAGTAGTTTAGGAAAAGCATTTCACATCTTCTATTCTAACAGTCTTTTCACTGCCTAATGACAACTGAACACAGTTCTTTCTTGTGGCCTTTTGTGAAGAAACACTGCCATGCTTATGCTCCAATGAATCTTTACAACAGCCCATAACTCAAATGTTTCTAGTCAAGTCTGACATAAGTTATGGCCTGGGAACCAACTTCCTCCTTCCCAACATACATACTAGGAATCTACTTAGCAACTGCTTTAGCCCATTTGGGAGTTTCTCTTATTCACCACTTTCAATTCATTGTCAATGAAAACACCTTAGTGTGGTATAGTATTGACTTAATTTATTAATCATTACATTTCATCTGAAAACAGGTGCCAGAATTATGAATTGCTTTTGCAATATGCTGCTTTTTCAGTGGAAACTATTTTTAAATGACTCTAAGTCTTTGGACTGGTAAAGTTAAATCACTAATTTAATTTTAATTCATTTTAATTTTTAAATTAATTTAATTAATTTATTTTAATTTTATTATGGAAACATAGTCTTTATACCTCAGCCAGGAAAGAGTTTAGCATAATTGGGAAACTGTGCATGTTTTAAAATCATTTCAACCATATATTGTTGTATTCCATCTCAATTTTCTTTGGACAAAATTAAGAATATTTTTGGAGAAAGAATACATAACAACTCTCACATATCTTAACATAATTGAAAAAAGTAAAGTACTCATAATTATTTAAACAACTTATTAAAATACAACTGATTTTTTTTAGTATAGTACCTTTTTGTTAAAATTATGTAAAAATACATTGCTACAATGCAATAAGAGTATCAAAAATATAAAGTAATAAAGCAATGAAAAACATTTAAAATTATTAAATGCACATTTCCTTCTTTATATTTATCCTGTCTGAGCAGGTATTCACATATTGAAGCTGGAAATGAATAAGCAATAAGAAACACATGTTCTAAGGAAACCCAACTTATTTTTAGAGAAACATACCATGTTCATTTATCAAAATGTAACCATTTATACGATAACAACTTGTTTCAACAGTGTTTCTAAATTTTATTATACTACAGTGCTAAAACCTGCTGTAAATTATTACTAAACTAAGCAGAACATGTGTGTTGGCTATTAGGAGTGCTGTCTATAAAACACCTTGGAGATTAGCATTCGAGACTAGCATAGAAACAAATATGAAACAGGGGAATAATTCAGTGTTGGAAAAATAGACTGAACTCTTCTTTAGCCTGTGCACCTTATCATATCTCTAGTGAGCAGTAAGCCACACAGCTGCTGAATGGTGTATGTGCCAATGTTTGAACTAAGGGTTTCCTACAGATGACAGCCATGAAAGTTGTTAAGAATTATCCCATAATGTGCAATCAGCATGAATAGCTTATTTGTAAAGGTTATTCATCAAAATTTGGTTTGCCACAGAAAATCCCAATGCCAATTAATCATAGATATCATACAGGAAGGTATGGTTGGCATATTCGTTTCAAAAAGAACACCCATGGATAATATACAAACTTCCTCTATTTCTTTGAACTAATTCCAGCCAAACTTTAAGGATTACATGATTACTGGTAAAATATAAGTCAAAAGCACTGGAAGATTTTTCATTATAATGTATCAATACATTATCATTAAAAACCTAATGATAATTCAAAACATTTGAAAGCCAAAAATAATATAGATTATTTTCTTATTTTCACTTTTACTTTTGCCTACAGCAAACATCTTTAAAATATACCTAATATTGTATTAGGCTAATCTGCAGTGATGGCATGCTTGTGTCACTACAAGTGCTAACACAATAGATTCATCACTAATACGTTATTCCCTCCCTTTCAAAAAAAAACAAAAACCTTACAAGTTTTGTGAATAGGCAAGGAACTATGGTTTAGACATTTATCTGAGAAAAAGTGTAAGGAGTTAAGAAAGCTAAACCAGGGAGAGACCATAAGAATGACCTCTTAAGGAAGAGAGAAAATATTGCAATAGACTAAGAAATAAGAACTTGGGAAATATATTGGTGAGACAAAGCAGCAAGGTAAAAATTCGACAGAAAAGAACTACTTAATTTAACATGTTTCTGGAGGAACAGGATACTCACCATTGCCCACTGATTGGTTGTACTGTAAGGTATATCTAGAGGACTTTACAACTTTGTTTTTGAGTGAGTCCTGCATTTGGCCTTTCACTAGAATGTTGAATGGGAAGTGAGGAGACTGCTACACCCAAAACAGGATGGAAACAAATATGCTGAAGTTGTATGGCCAGAGACGTGAGGTCATGTTCCTGTTTCTATACATAGCTAAAAGTTCTATGCACAAGCAAAGAGCCTCTGCAAAATGTGTCACCTCTCCCATCACTGAAGGATTGTGTATACATTATGTACAAATACTATAATGCAGGATCCCCAACTTTTGCGGCTTGGCTGCCTGGCTGGGGGGGAGAGAGAAGAACTGGGCCACGTAAGTGGTGGATGATGGTGTTCATGAGCCCACAGCTCTTGTGCAAGTGGCAGGCCAAAGCGCAGCTTGATCTGCATAAGAGTCAAGCTGGCACACACATGCACAAGTACCCACCGGCTTTCCCCTTGCACAAGTTGAGCTGCATGCACACGCACTCCAACCAGTCACTTGTGCGGCCCATTTCCAAAAGGGCCACAGCCCAGTAGTAGGCCACAGCCCTGGAATTGGGGACCCCTGTTATAATGCATTTGAAGAAAGAGGTTATTTAGAGAAGAACTACTGAACCTATAAACAAGAGAAGCTTTATATTATTACAAAAAAAAGAGATAAATAGTAATGATGCTAAAGCCTCAAAATAAAGTTTATAATATGAATATTAGTTGTAGGTGGAAAGAACAGAGGCCTGAAGCTAAGGTGGATACAAGCACAGAGATAGGAGAAAAGGAAGAAATAGAATGGGTCTCAATGGCTCATAAGGGAACAAATAGTTCCATTAACAAGATATATTTTCTTCTTGTATATTGATAGAGAATTTCCAAAAAAGTGATGAGTTCCAGATTTAAAAATTATTCTTTGGGTTTCTAGTGAACACCATCTGAGCAGATAATTAATATAATTCTAGCTATTTAATAAAACTTTTTAATATTTTAAATATTCAGTTTCTTTCCCCCAAATATTATTATTTTTGTGGCAATATTACCAATAAGAAACATAATTTTATCAATATACTAATCAACAAGTAATCAGTTGGATGTTCATATTTGCTATATTTATGTTTTCAGCTATTACTGCAGTTCAAATAACTGCAGTACGAAAGTAAAGTATTAGAAAGTTCAGTTATTGCCATGTGATATTTTTTTTGCTTCCTGAATATGGTTCTTCAAATATTTGCCAGATGCTGACACCGTGAGGTAATATGCAGTATGATTTTTCAAGTCTAGCCAGAATGCCTGCAGCTGTTTAAGAACAATCAATGTCAACGCAGAATCCAGTACTTTCTAATACTGAATGACAACTGTAAAACATTATCATCTTTATTACCACAGGAGGGTGTACAGTGCATAGTATAATTTTAGAAATCCACAATGGATTCATAGCAGGATTCTTCATTTTCTAAACTGTATTTCTCTATAAATTTAAGTTACAGCATTGAAAAAGGTACTATACTTCTTTGGACATTACAATATTTCTATTTTGTAATACTAGCAGATATTGTAGTACCCAAGAACTGCTGTTAAATATAAGTATTCTATGAACAATGCCAACATATTTATAGCTCAAACCATATGCTGCATTGCATTATCATCTATGTTGCCCACAACTAATTGCAAGCGTTTTAGCTAAATTACATGACACGGTAAAGGCAAAGCATGTATTATCCTTCTGTTTTAAAGCGTATGTAAAATTCTGAGTGTTGAGACTCTGCCCAGATTAAAATTAAAACCTCACATATATGCCACAGTTTTCAAAAGTTTCCACAGACAATAATGGCATTTTTTAAAAAGCTTATTTGCAGATTTCATTATAGCTTAAATGTTACAAAAATCAAAAATAAGAGAGGGGCAGCTAATTTGGAAATGGATACAGGACATTCTAATGTAAATATTTAAAAAAAAACAGAAGAAGATGAAAATGTATTCTATGGCTAGCAGAAGCTAATGGGTTTGAGTTCTAGTGGTTAGTGCACGGGGCTAGAAACCAAGAGAATTCTAGTCCAGCCTTAGGCTTAAAATCAGGTTAGGTGACTTTGGCCCAGTCATTTTCTCTCAACCCAAACCATCTCACAGAATTGTTGTGAGGCAAAAACAAGAGGAGTATTATGTATCTTCACTTACAAAGTAGTACAAGTGGGATAAAAATCTAAAAAACAAAACATAGCTACATAATTTGGGAATATTGGTGACCTGCAAATTGGCTGAGTAGTTCCAATATTTTAAATGAAATAACACTGGTTGCAAATGAGTTTAAAATTGTGGGCTGGGTAGTAACTGCAGTCAAATTGCCCTTTCCATGCATACTAGCAGCCATTAGAATAAAAGAAAGGGGGTGTTTTCCTTTAAATTCAGATACCCAATGAAAACACACCTCAGCACCTTTTCTTTCAAGCAGATCTTTCAAATATTTTCAGTTAACTTACTTTTGGTGACCACGCCTTCTAACCGGATTATATTGGGATGATCAAATTGTCCCATGATGCTTGCTTCTCCAAGGAAATCTCTTCTCTGTTTCTCTGTGTAACCAACTTTCAGGGTTTTTATTGCAACTGATATTTCCTTTTTGGAAGGAAGCCTTAGACGGCCACTACATACTTCTCCAAACTCACCTGTCAGTAATGCAAAGAGAAAATATTTGAATTTCCAGCTAGAGATCATGACAGATTAAGTGGCTCAGAAGCCTACATTTTCAGTCTACATTGTATACTTTGTGGCTTTTTACTTTCTGGAATATTGCACATACTCCAGATGTCCAATTCTGAAATCCGGCTGAAACATTTCTGTTTCTTGAAATATGTGTTTTATGGACCTAATGTAATGTCAAATCTCTACCTTAGAGGTTAGTTGCAACAGTGCAGCAGAATAACAACAGATGTTTCAAATATCTATTTTAAGCAAGATTTAAACATACAAAGTTTTATGAAACTGTTCTGTCAGTGAACAGGGATGTTCAGAACATAATGCAATTGTTAAGAAAACTGACAAAATAGAAACTTTGTGACGTGTGCATGAAAAAATGTTTGTGCATGATGGTAAGTTTAAAAATATATAATTTTATTTGAACTGTCATGGAAAGACTTGTTTTTTAACTGAAAATATAAGAGAGAATATAATGCATCCAAGGGACAATAAAAGAAACAACAGCTACAAAATTTACCACTATCTGACCCTACATGAAATCATATCTCCAGTATACTCTACTAAGGACAATATTCAAATATGAACATTAAGTAAATGCCATTAATTTAGAAAAACTAACTGAGAATTGAAAATTGAAACTCAATACTATACAGGTTTAAAGAAAAACAAAAACAAAAAACAACCACAAAAGAATAAAGTACTTGGAACAAATTATGTGCAAGCTTGATGTTATATTTTAAAGACTCTCCTAGGTATTTATGTTAAGATTTTAACACCTTTAACACCTAAACTGTTATCACTATAGAACGCCCAGAACGGAGTTCCGGCACCTTTTTTGGATGGAACCTTGTAGGGCAGGCAAGGTGGGTTGTATGACGTGTGTGAATTCCAGCACCCTTTTTTTTTTTTTAGAATAAAAGCACTGACTATATACCTATCATTGTGTTATAGTCAGAGCACCTTTATTTATGCTGAAGTTTGCACAAATTTAGCTATTAATGATACAAAATAGCTCAATAAAAATCACAGTCATATTGAAGCTTCATGTTTAAGAAGTGGGTTTTCTTTTCCTTTATGATTTTCTTCTCATACTGGTGTGTAGTAAATTATATTAATGAGTAAATGTGCAGGTTATTATTCCTGATCTTTCATAAAGCCAGTCTTTTTTTTTCAGAGCCTTTTACCTGCTTAAAGCTTGCTGAAATCTTAGAGGCATTTAAGTTCTATTATCATTTTGGTTGGGAATTTGTCTGAATATGGAGAATGATATCGTCCCGAAATAAAGATATTTCACACTTCTCTTTTTAAATTTTAGTAGCCTAGGACTAAATTCACCATATCTTTGGAGGAGGATGTGTATATCCCTCCTTCTAATCCTTTCTCATATTTTCCAGAATACATCAAGCAATTCCAAACTCGGTTGTTTAGTTTTATAACAAATCTGACATAAATTATTAGATCATTTACATAAATGCTGAACTCTATATAAGGATGTCTCCACAGTTGGATACGGTCATGGCAGAAAAATGGATAAGTAAAATGATTAAATATAATTTGTATTTATTAAAAAATTAATAAATTATTCAAACTACCAATGTTTTAATTCTACCTAAATAATGGTCTTATACCTATCATATTAAATTTGTAATTTGATGCTATTTACTGAAAAGACTCTTGGCTATAAATCATAGATTCTGGTTACAAAAATACATAGATATCATAAACATGTACTTCTCCATATTTTTGTTTTGTTTACGTTTAAAACAAGACTCAGTGTTTGGTTTTGGTAAATACTTGGTAAATAATTCCATTAGCATATTTAGTTACAAGCTGCAATATTTTAATGTTAGGTTCACTTGTAATTCACTGTTTACTTTTGTTATTAAAAATGTCTTGATTTTAAATCTTGCAGTCATTTCATTTCTTGTGATGGAATTTAATCTACACCACACTAAACATAAATAAACGAATACATCATGATCACAAGCATTATTAGGAGTTGGATGTTGTTAACAGGACCCATGTGAGGCAGCTTCAGTTCAGTACTGTTCTATCAACAGTGCTATCTGGTTTTAAGTACTTCATTACAATATGGTACACGTATTTAAGGTTTTATCTTAAAATATGCAAAATAATATGCAAAATAAAATATGGAAATTTAGCACGTGAACTCACATATTGCAGCATGGATATAAAAAGGCAAACATGTGCCCAGTTATTTCTGAATTTTAGTGATTACATGACATAACCAGACAGCTGGTTACAGTGCAGAAATGTTTGCCACTGACTTCTTTATAAATTATTTGCAGCCTGATATTCTCCAGAGATCGTTTAACTCATATGAACCAGGTCTAACCCTGCTTATCTGCTGAGCATCAAAAAAGGTCAGCCAGATGCTGCCACCTGCTGAGACTTTATGCATTTACACTCTATTAAACCATGGGCATTCTGAAGATAGGAAAGGAAGGAAGCAAATGGAAAGTGACTGATGATCTGTAATCAGATGAATATATTATTCAACATAGCCTCTTAGTTTCAGATATCTGTCATACAGCCAATGAGCTATTACGATCTATAAAAAATTAAAAAAGGTCTGACTTTCTCGGTCCTGTGTTTTAGGGAAAGATTATTATAAGGATATATGATCCTGCTCTCCAAACAGTAAGACTAGATGACTTTATTTAATTTTTTTAAAATCTTAGTTCATATTACAAGCACATATAAGAGCAATTTGTCTGGTTTCAATCAGAACTGTATGGGAATAGAAGATTGTATATGCATATAGATAAATCATGTGCTATATTACATTATTTCATCCATTCAGAAGATCTGGGATGTTTCTATCAATTTAGGCACTTCCTGCTTCCATTTTGGTGACAATTTGAACATGGGGTAATAGTAGATGTAATTGTTTTTTCTTCACAGTTAAGCATGCTCTATATCAAACCCTTGTTCAGCAGTGTTCTCCCTGACATTCTTTTTCCTGCTCCAGTAAGACAAATGCCTTACACGAGCTGAAATCTTTTGTGCTGAAACCTTCATTAGTGAGAACAGGATAATCTATCAGTGTTAGGCTAGATAACTCAATAAGTAAGGAAGTAAAATTCATTCAAGGAAGCCTTCATGAATCTCTCATTCTCAACTGTGAGAATGTTGCTTTTTAGAGAACTTAGAGAAGAGAAAGAGACAGGCCTGCCTCACAACATCCACATCAAAATACTTCCCCTTAAACCATTTTCTCTGCCATGAACTTAAACAGTTTAGATAGACTGATTTTATGCAGAATTATGTATGAGTTCTTTTTGCATTGCTTTGTTCTTTATATTTTCCCTTTTGTTTCTAGTCAACTTTTCCCCCCTTTCAGAGATAGATAGAGATCTGTCCTTGTTGGTTGAAAAGTGACTTTTCATTAAAATCTGTCCCCCCTCCCTTTTTTTTTTTTTTTTGCAAAATTGCAGAGTTGCACAGCTACACCCTTCAGAATTGGGATACAGTTTGCTGAATTCTGTAATTCTGCCTTTGTCTCTATACAGCTGGGCTAAAGGAAGAAGTCCTTGACAAAAGTGCTAAGAATGCTCCAGCCGGACAAACTGGCAGGAGGGTGACCTAAATGACCCAAAAGGGTCATTTAAATATATGAATTACCTAGCACATTCATGGTGTCCCTATTAATCGGGTTATATTAAAAATATATTTGAGCTATTTTTAAAAAAGTTATAAAGTTTGTAATATTGTAGTCCTAACAAAGCTTGATCAGTTGTGGAATTTGGAGATGTTTTTCCCTTAAGGGCCAACATTACTGTTTTTGCTTTTTGTGTACTAACATAATACTTGAAATTCATTCACAAATATTATGTTTCAACTTAGCCAGAGCTATAATGCAAAGCTGAATGGTATGTTACCTGGACTGAAAAAGACATTAGCTCTGTCAGTCTGGATGATGTTGCTAAACAAAGAATGAAAGACCAACATTCTTTAATGATTGGTTACACAAGAAATTTTATTGAACAAAATGACTACATCTGAAAAGCTTGCAATAGTAATTAGAATGATATGGCATAGTGATTCTCATTATTAATATTTTACCTGCCCCAACGACTTTATCAATAGCTATGCTGGAAGCCTCCAGTTCTCTGGCAAATTCATGAACAGCCAGATTGGGATCTTCGTATGTATGTGGATCCACATATGTTCTGAGGCCTGGAAGCTTCACTGTGTAAAAAAAATTCAAAAATATATGGATAAATAATTACAAATACAAAAGGTTAATGATTCCATAAGAAAACATGCCCAAAATGCTTGAAAGAAATTCTTCTGAAAAATTGTACATTTTATAGAACACAACTTTTTTGGACAAGTAATCATTTATTTCAACAGTAACAATTATAAGGGACCATAATTTAATCATTTTCTTTATATTCCAGAAGACTGTAAAAATAGTCAATAATGTTTCCTCCTTTTACGGCTTTAGGCATCACTTTGGGCTAGATGATACCATAGTAGCAACAGTATTTCTTACTAGATTTATGAAAATATTTTCCCTTGTTTATTAATGTTAGCTACCCCATTAAGGAAGAAAGACATTCCCTGAGTTAAAAATAAAGATTATCTGTTTAATCAATTAATTTATATGATTTCATCTCATCTCATCTCACACAGGTAATTCTGGGTGGCATTCAAGAATTAAAACTTAAAACCCCACAATATACAAACAGCTCCCAGGGGTTTTCTAAAACAGAGGTCCCCAATCTCTGGGCTGTGGACTAGTAGTGGTCCATGAGCTGTTTGCAACCAGGCAGTGAAAATAGCAGGTGAGCATGTGCACACACACGCTTCCCCACTTGCAGAAACAGTGGGTGACCGCATGCATTTGTGTGAGTGGTGGGTGCAAATGGAGCTGCGTGCATGCCCACTTGTCAGCAGCTTGTGCGGAACCATCCCTTGTCTCCCCACAGTCCACTAAGCCAGAAAGATCGGGGAACTCTCTTTTTGAGCCTTCAAAAGGCCTGTAACTAGATTAGCCTTCTTTGCCGACTGCTTGCTCATATATCCTGCCCAAAAATATTATAGTTACTGAGATGTTTTCTTTATGGTTTCATAAAGAATTTAACAATTGTGATGGAATATGTCTATGAAGGGAAGTAGTGTGATAGGCTACAGTGAAGTGACAGGAAAGACAGAGTGCATTTCAAGGAGGGCCCAGGCAAGAGACAACATAGCCCAGAGTTGGAGACAGAGGAACAGAATTAGGATAGCCATTCCCTATAGCAGGCATGTCAAACTGCCGAGCCATGGGCCAGACACTCACAACAAGACTGTGCCCACCCCATTGCCAGCAGTGGGGAAAAAGTTGTGATACATCACGCGATGTCATGTGAAGGTGCATGATGTGACATGCCTGCCTAGAGTCTTCCAAGATATATTCCTTGCGAAGGGAATAGTAAAGGTTTAGTCTGGCAAGATTCTGTCTACTCAACGTAAACAAATAAGGAACTGAACTTTGGCTGAGTTACTTGTTATCATTCTTGTGCTAGGCCTGATAGTAACTGACTTCAAAGCTTGATTGCGATCTCTGTGGCAATGCTTTGGAACTTTGGAAAACCCATTAATTGAAAATTAGATATCTGCTTTTTATATGTATTCAGATCTGAGTGGAATAACAATCATTGTAAAATCTTCTCACCCTCTTCTACTGCTGTAAATCATTCTCCACCACTTCACTTAATGTCTAAATATAAAGAATTACAAAAGCCTTCTGCATCCAATCTACTGTCTAGTTTAATAAGAGACAAACTAGAGGAACTAAACAGAGAGGTGGCAATTCCTTTTCTGGTAATGGTAGAATTCAGTATCAGACAATGAAGTGGATTGGCAACACATTCAAGGCAGGCAAAATGTCTGTTCAAATATTATTAGGCTCCCAAGACATATCAAGGCTTCTAAGATTATTACACTAAATCTTTCTGACAATTTTGATGATCATTCTATATAGAAGTCTGCGTATATGGGCAACTGCAAACTGCTTTACACAATTTTAGTTAGCCATGTTGAGCTAAGTGACTGGACATGTGATATATCCTGCAAAAAGCTACAATGATAACCATCACAAGATGTGGTTAACAACCCAAATTAGTTTATAGAGGTGTTAGATGGAATCTTAGCAATCTAATTATGCTTGATAGAGAAGAGAACATTATGGAAGCTCTTTAGGGAAGCACCTGAGTGTGGCAAGCAGATTGAGGAACTGAATATTTCTTCAATCTGATTCACATCAGAACTCTTTATCTGCTCTTGCCTAATGTACTAAACCAGCTGCCGTAAGACTTTAAGCACATTACAAATACTTACTTCCTATGTTCTAATGCTAATTGCCCCCAATACAATTTAAGGAAACCATTCAGAACAGAGAGACAGTGCTTTGCCTAAAATGGCATGCATTGTTTTCTATAAGACTGAACTCTGTTAAAGGAAACATTACAGCAAAACTTTCTGAAAAACAGCAACAATTAAAACCCACGTTCACAACCTGCCAGAGGGTTTAAGTCTCAAAACAGTTCCCTGCCATTCATGCTGGTTCTGTTAAATATCCTTCCTGCCCCTAAAAACAAAATAACCTTCTACAATTGCAAAACTTTGGAAAAAAAATTTTCAGAGCTCAGAAGTGTTATGTTCTTAGATGACTGTGTTGCAACAGAAAATAAACGCATGCACATGTATTGAGTTGCGGAACTTTATCACTACTTTTATGAGAGCAAAATCAGTTCTATTTTACCAGATGAATTGCCCCATGAGAAATGAAAAAGTTAAAAAGGCTTGGCCTATGAAGGGCAAACAGATGAATTTAAGGATGAAAATTATATTTGAAGTGATATTGTGAAAGAGGAAATAATACTACCGGGAACTGTTAATGGCTAAGGCATTTTTCTCCCTAGCAATTCAGAATCAGACTGGAGTAAGCCAGCAATTTATGGGGCAATATGGAAAAATTTATTCCAGACACAGATTTTATTTTATACTGTTGCAATTAATCCAGAGGAATATTGTTTGCTGTATTTACACGCACTTCATGTGCCAAGAAACTCCCCCCCCCCCCAAAATGTCCCGTACTGTTGAGTTTACAGTCTCCTCATGAAAACTTGGGAAGAACAAATTATGTTTGAAGGTCCCAGCAGGAAAAAAAAAGATTTTATAAAACTTTGAAGATATGCACGCTAGTAAAATATGTCACAGTTAAACTGTATGGAGTGTTAAATCTTTAACAGCAAAATGTTTAATGTTATGAAGTCATGAAAAGGAAGCAGAAGATTTGAAAACGTTTTAAATAAAACCAGAACTCCTCAATGCTTGATTCCGAAGCTTGTTTCAAATGTTAGATGTTTGCTCTGGAATTTATTTTAGTAGAATGAAAGACGACCACCTATGAGTATTTTTCTGAGTGCATTTCTATCACCACTTAATCCAAAGCTAGCCATGATGATTCATGTAACTTTAATGGAACATATTTTCCAGTTTGGCTTCCAGACATTGTTAAACCACCAGAATTTATCTTTTTAGAAAAAAGTTTTCCATCCTGGCAAGAAACAAACTTTGTTAGTAAACCATAAATTGTTCCATGTACATGCACATGCACATGCACACATGCACGCGCACACACACAGAATCAATACTTGACAATATAGCAAAAAAATAAAGACTGTTATCAAAATAATTTTTTAGCAAAAAAAGGGATTTTTTATAATGTTACAGTATATTTTGTTATGAGCACTTTTAAAATGTAGTATCAGCTTTGAAATCTAACTGAATATGAGTAAATAAGATGTTGTGATGTGAGGCACATTTTATTAAGTGGGTAGCTTAAGCTCAGTTTGCTATTCATTTTTGTGCTGTCTTAAGTATCTGCATATCATAGCTTGCATATCTGCATTTAAAAAAGCATACTGTAAAGACTCCAGATATAAACAATTTGAAGTTTCAATCACTTTAGCAATTGTATTAGGTGCAACATTTAATTATTAGAATGCCAAATAAACTACAATAAACAAAAAAAATTTGCTTGCAGAAATCTTACTTCAAGCATTTCTACTTCCTTTCTGTGATTTGATTAGGAATAAACGAGTATCAAGTAAAATATATAACATAGGGAAGAAATGTTGCATTAATAAATGAGAAATTCCTTAAGTTAAAAAAAATAGAATTATATAACAGCAGAATCCATTCTTCACAACCATTTGCTCTTACAAGGAAATGCCAATCATATTTCTTTACAAGTATTACTTTTGGTTTCAATAACTTTAGTCCTAATTCAACACAAAAGTTATGCAGAAGAAACTTCGTATCATAGCTAGAAATACTCTCTCACCCACACCCTATCACTTCTATTGCAATGGATCTGTTTGTATTAATTACTACCAGCTATTCAAAAAGGGGATTTTTCATGCAGTAGTAAGTATCTAAAGCAGGCATGTCAAACTTGTGACGTATCGTGACTTTTTCTCCATTGCTGGCAATGGGGTGAGTGTGTTTTTGGCATGACGCATCCAGCCCACAGGCCGGCAGTTTGACATGCCTGATCTAAAGAAAAACAATTAACTGAGTTTCAAAATGTAATCATATGCTCACAAGCTGGAGTATACTGTTTGTTGTTTTACAAGGTTAACTTTCATATATATAAGAATCTGTACTTTATTATAATTTATTATAGGAAGTATGGATTTACATTGCATTGTGCCAACTGAACAAATCTGTTCAATTTTCAATAATGTTAGAAATCATAGTTTAAGAAGTTAGGAGAGAGCAATGTAGAATGAATACTGTATTTTTCTGTAAGCTATATATTTTTCTTGATTCTAAAACTTATGATATTATAACTATGACTAAACCAAAGGTTGGTTCTGTCTCAACAAAACTCTTTTGCTTCCGCTAAAAAGTAATTTTTAGTTAAAAAAGAAAGGATATATTATACCGACTGTATCCCAAGAAAAATATTTAAAAAATGGCAATTTTGATGAGTGGTACCACTTATCATTCATGTCTCCAAAGTATGCAGTAAACTACTGTTGTGTTGGGATGAACTGCTCCCTATATTTAACCTATACTGTAGCAAAGTGAATGAGATATGGTATTAAAACTAAGAAATTTATTATGTTCATTATTGCAGAGTTACCATCTTCTATAATTTTATCTAAAATGTGCTACAAGGGGCTTGGGTTTTGGCAAAAAACTTGATTTTATTGATGATTCCATCTCTGAAATATGATGCTATTGCAGAATGGGACAACTCTGAATATAAAGAAAATTGGTTCCTTAATGAGTATATGTCTGAAGAAAGAATACTACCAAACTTTACAATACACTATTACTAAGATGTAAATTTAGAGTATATATGAATTTGGTTGTCAGTAACTGACACAACTTTTTATAACTTACAATGCCCATTACCAAAATACAGCCTCTTCTCATCAGACCCATGTTTTGACTTATTATGTCCGCAGAATCTAAAAGTAGTAAGAGATAAGAATATCAGTAATGCAACATTTTATAGACAGTTATGTATGTAAATTTATATACCTGTACAACATAAATGTACACATGAACAACTTCAGGAGGAAATATTTTCTCTAAATGTTTAAGAAACATTTTCTTAACATTTATAGTCTATGAACACTACAAACCTAAGGTAAATTTACAGGAATATAAGGGATAACATATTGGTTTTCATTTCTCTAGTTTTCTGCACAATTGTCTATAAATACAGGTGAAACTTGAAAAATTAGAATATCGTGCAAAAGTTCATTTATTTCAGTAATGCAACTTAAAAGGTGAAACTAATATATGAGATAGACTCATTACATGCAAAGCAAGATAGTTCAAGCCGTGATTTGTCATAATTGTGATGATTATGGCTTACAGCTCATGAAAACCCCAAATCCACAATCTCAGAAAATTAGAATATTACATGCAATCAATAAAACAAGAATTGTACGTAGAACAATATCAGACCTCTGAAAAGTATAAGCATGCATATGTACTCAGTACTTGGTTTGGGCCCCTTTTAAGCAATTACTGCCTCAATGCAGCATGGCATGGAAGCAATCAGCCTGTGGCATTGCTGAGGTGTTATGGAAAACCAGGATGCTTCAATAGCGGCCTTCAGCTCTTCTGCATTGTTCAGTCTCATGTCTCTCATCTTTCTCTTGGCAATGCCCCATAGATTCTCTATGAGGTTCAGGTCAGGTGAGTTTGCTGGCCAATCAAGCACAGGAACCCTTTGCAGGAGTTATGGTTTAATTAGCTGATTAGAATGGGACACTTTGAGCCTAGAATATTGAATCTTTATACAATATTCTAATTTTCTGAGATTGTGGATTTGGAGTTTTCATGTAAGCCATAATCATCTCAATTATGACACATCACGGCTTGAACTATCTTGCTTTGCATGTAATGAGTCTATCTCATATATTAGTTTCACCTTTTAAGCTGGATTACTGAAATAAATGAACTTTTGCATGATATTCTAATTTTTCGAGTTTTACCTGTAGCTGTTTTTAACTAGCTTAGTAGGACTAGGGCTGCTATAGTTAACAGGCCATGTTATGTATTTCTCTGCTATAACTTTTTGTCCTATAAGACTAGATCATTATATTTCCAATTGTGTCAACTTTTTGTTATGTATATTCATAAAATTGCTTTATATTTTTCTGTAATTAATTTAAAACATATACTGTAAATGTCCATTTTGAATGCACTAAAGTATATTTTTTATTATATGTGTATACATTTGTAACATCTTAAAATATGTTTTTCAATGCTTTGGGTTTCAATTTTGAACTGAGAACTGCATAGCAAAATTCAAAGAAATATGAAACCAAAAAGGATAACCACAACCAAACTTGCACACTATCCCAGAAAATACGAATCAGATCAATTTGCCTTGAAATGCATACCAAATTAAATCCCTGAGTATCCTTGACAGTATCTTGGTGACAGTGCTTATCATTCTACTGCAGGCTTTAAGAAATGAAATTCAATGTGTAAAAGGAATGAGGAACTGACCTCCCAATCAAAATGTAAACCACAATTGTGAGCAGAATAATTGCTACCGCAGCTGAAACAGCAATCATTACAACTTGGCTATTCTCACTGGAGATGGAGAAAGCTAAAAGTGAAAAAGAAAATAAAAATGAGAAAGAGTGAAACAAAAAGCAGTAAATGTAACGCTGCTGGTAACTGAAGGAAGATAAAAATATTATTGCAGCATCATTTTCTTTTGGTTTACAGAAGAGTTCTAATCCTTTTCTTAGCTGCAATCCTATTTATCTTTTAGAAAAACTTGTATTGAGATAAAAATAAATTATATAATTGCCAAGAAAAGAGAGAAAGAAAGAGAGAAAGCAATACCATATATTTGTTATTCTGGTGAGAAATGCAAGGTTCATTTGTACAACAGAGTTTACTGGCTCAGGAATCTTGATATACTGAAATTTAAGGTAAGAATCTGATAGTTGGACACTTTTAGGACACAGGAACCAGAAAAAGTGATTTTTAAATTTAATTCAATGTGCCAGAATTCAAATCCCTCTTTTTCCATCCAGCCCACTTCCCCTTTCTCCTTGAAAGTAAGGGAAGAATGACTAGGGAGTGCAAATTTAGTAACCTGAAAGCATAGTTTTACTTTCAAGATTATCCATTTCCACCACAGAAAATAATTACTTCCTTCCAAGACACCAGTGTTACAAAAACAAATGTGACTTTATTCATGTAGGCATAATGTAGGCAAGAAGGTGCTATTGCTTTAGTAAGCTTAAAAATGGTCAGATTAAAAAAAAATTTTTTTTTAATTTTTTTCCTTTAACAAAAGAAGCAGATTTGAAGAGCAGAATGACTTTATAGTAATAGCTGAGAAGATATTTTCTTAGAAGTGGTGTTTCATAACTGAAATAAGACATCTTTTTATGAAAAGAATACTTGTGGGTATAAGGCATGAAAATAATTATATTTTTTAACTAAGGCTAAAATTAAGAAATTTTATAAATGCACTTTTTTAAAAAGAAAAAGGTCAAATTGGATATGATATAAACAGAATACAAATTTCCAGGAATATTTTTCCTTAATAAAATATGTGGTTCATCCCTGAGATTCAAAGAATCTTGGTATTAATTCAGTTTCTACAATCAATCAATCAATCTGGATTAATGCTGGTCATCTTTTGAATAGTCATGCTGAAATAATCTCTAATATCAAAGGTATTTAAGAATGTTAATCTTGACTGGATCATATTCACATGATTCAGTCCAGCTTCCAGCACAAGGTATTATAATTTTTTTAAAAATAAATTATCCAAATTCAATTTACTATGGAAAAGTAAATTATTGCAATCTGTTCTCAACTGTTAGAATAAAGAAAAATCTGCTATATATAATACAAATCTGTTATCTTAATCTATTATTTTCACAGTCATTCACACATATTTATTTATGACAAAATATATGAACATATTTCTTTTTCTTGTTCTGCCATACACTAAGTTAAAAAAGATTTTAATGATATCTATGGATACTATGCTATTTATTCCATATTTTAAGATTACTAAAAAAATAATTTGTTGACTAAAACAGCTGCTCTGACTACTATAAAGTAAAATGCAGATTTTTTTAAAAAAAATATAGATCTTCATAATATAAATGTTTCAAATATAAAAACATAAAACTGCATTAGCAGAAGAATATTTTCTCTATCATTGGATATAACACATTTTTTTTATTCTGATTAGATGCTTTCTTTGGTCAGATTACTTCTTGAGTACTGTGTCCAGTTCTAGACACCACATTGTAAACAAAAGAAACCAAAACAGATTCGAATTTCTAACATAAAGGGGATAAACACTCTTCAAAAAATGTCATGAAACTCAAGATGGATTCTCTGTACATTTCCAGAAAACATGTTCTCATAAATGAAAAATGACGCTTTATTTAGATACTCTCAGATGCAAGAAAAAAATTGGCACCTTGGAAAAGAGAAACCTTGTTGACACTATCAGAATGGAATATGAAAATTGCAGCAATGGCAAAATTAATAAATTAATAATTAATTTTATTAATAAATTAATAAAATTAATTCCATAATATAGATCCAATCAAATATACTCAAGAACATCTCCTATATATATTGCACTACAAAGCAGGCCAAATTTAGACATTTAGAATATGATTTTTTAAGAAGAAAGTTATAATAGATGAAAAAATTTATATAAATACTCAAAATAATTTGTAATGGAAAGTATAAATATATATATTGTGTTAATGGTTGGGCAAATAAATAGAAGGGAAAGGGAGAATGTGCTAACCATAAAGTTTTACCATGATGTTTTCATTTATGACTGGAAACTATTATTTGATAGAGCCTATGAAATTATTAAAGAAGAAAAATGTAAATAAGAGTTTGTTACATATCAAAGTGCCACATGAAAATCTAATTAAAAACTACCTGATGGATGAATTCACTAACTAACTGCAATTAACTGCAACAGTTCTCTCCTGAATGAGATTTCATTTTGAGAAAACAATATTGAACAGTTTTTGTGAAGGAAAAGGTTAAAGGAATCTACTTCCAGCAGACTGAAAAAAAATCTTTAAAAATCTTTTTAAATATATACCACTAGCCCCACAATAAACTGTAACAAATGTACCACCATGTGGCTTTTAAATACCTAGAAAGAGAGAGGGAGAAAGAGTTCAGAAGTTTAGACTTCACAAGTTCACTCAACAAGACCAGATTATGACACTGTGCAGATATTTGATATTTCTGTCTAGCATCAGTTCCACCTACTGCAAGATTCATTGAATTCTGGAAAAATAAATAACATATGACAGGAGAAAGTACAGCATTCCATGACATAGTTCTCAAAACATGTTTTAAGAATAATGACAAAATATAGAAATTTATATACATGTTATCCAGAAAGCCAGATCATAAATACAGAGTCATATTTGCTGAACTATGGACGATATGAAACTAGTCAGCCATTTAATTTTGAAGTTGTGCAGGAAAACATTTAAAATCAATTTTTTTTTTTGCAAATACTTACAGTCTGGACTGGTTTCAAACTCAAATTTGCGGCTGTTGGTCCCATATCCTGCAGCAGTTCGGGCTCTGATTTGGAAAACATAAGTGGTGTCTGGCTTAAGGCCATTAATAGTAACATTCATAGTTTTTGCTCTCAGAATGGTGTAGCTTGTTTCTTGTTCCTGCTTTAGAAAAAGAAATGGGCCTCATTAAAACCCAGGTAGTCAAACCTGGTTGCCATAATGTATGACTTTATTTCATTTTCATAGCAGTTCCCGTTCCATATTATTCCAGCTGTGCAAACAGCATTTTTGAGTACAAGTTAATTGTATTCATTGTACATTTTATCTTCTGTAACCAGAATGGCTAAAGAGAATTTGTATTTGATGTAATCATAGATGCCCTTTCTGAGAATTGTTTTGGTGTATTAAGATTTTTCAATAGAGCGCAATAAATCTTTTTTTATCTTACCCCCTCAAATACGTTGTATGATTAGATCCTAGAGAAAGAATTTAGACTTCAATCCTAGCACCTCTTTTGCCTTCAACTATAATAAGGTTGACAATATGTACAAACATCCTCCAGGATATTTCCATTTCAAATCTGATCTCTGCTGTTTTATATCTTGGGAGAGAAAACTTTTTGTTTTTTCAACATTTTTTATATGTTCTGTAAAATATCATGTCTTATATTTTGTAAAAATGGCACCTCTTTTTGCAAATAAGTACATTACTGGACTCATGACTTTTCATGAAAAGGTAAAAGTTAAGAAACTTATGGACCAACAACATTAATAATAGAGTGGGATAGGTTCACATTTAGAAGAGTGGCACGGAGGAAATGTTAACAGTCTCAGATCAAATTTTCTTCTTTGTTCCAATCTGAAATCTGAACAAAATATGCAGATCAATTGAGTCTGGCTCTCAGCTTTTGCATTAAATTACTCTGGCTACTGCATTTGAAGATAATTTGATAGTGTAACTTGGCTACCTCTTTCATTATACAGTATTTGATATTTACTGCTAACATTTCATTTCTGTTACATAAAGAAATTATGTAGATCAGAGATTATCTCATTTGTGATCTGTCTAGATTCAGGTGCTGTGTAATATGTATGCAGATACTCTATATTTTGTTGCCTGTGACCAACTTTCAACATCTTAAAATGGTGACTTTACCACTGAAAGGAGGAAAAATTGTGGATAGTACTGCTGCACATATGGACCTAGGAATAATTCAACTTCGTTCATTCATTTTAACATTTCAGTTCTGTAATTGCCATTAATGAAAGTTATAAGCCTATGATGCAACTCTATGTATGTTCCTCAGTTTAACATATAATATTATTGCCTAAACAGTGAATATTACAATTAATTCATAGATGCATAGATCCATACAACCCCAACGTGGCATAATATTATGAAAAATCTAGTAAATGTTTTTTTTTAGAGTTAAAGTAATGCCCTACAAGTATTTTCTTTTGTTATAAGCTGTATCTGCATTTTATAGACTTACAGGTAGTCCTCAACTTATGACTCTAACAGAGTTTGCCCATTATGATCATAAATTGTGATGATCATAAAACAGGCCATCATGGGAGCTTCCGGTGTGAGGCGACGGCGATGGCGGCTAGCTTTTAGCCGTCCAGCTGGGGAAGTGTCAGAGCCGCGGAGCGCAGCGTGCATCAGCTGGCCCGCGGCTCGAAAATCCCTTCCCGGGCAAAGGGAAGGGACAGAGAGTGCAGGGATAGAGGTAGAACCCCTGAACCCCCTCTGGATTTGTTTCTAGAGGGGGTGAAAGGAGTGTTCCCTCGGAGCTCCTGCTGATCTCCGCCTCCCAGCTGTTTTTGCTTCCTAGGAAGCAAAAGAAACCGCCGCTTCTATCTCCGTGTTTATAGCATTCTGGTGAGTAATTTTTAAACGGACGGAGCAGTTTAAAGGATTTTTTGTTATAATTTAGGTGTTTATTTTTTTTATTTTTTGATTTCTACTATTATTCCTCTTTTTTTGTTATATTAGTGAAAGGATTTAAGATGGCGCTTTGAAAGTGTCGGAGTTTTTTTTTCCTTTCTCTTTTGTTTTACTTTCCCTTTTTAAGGACTGGTTTTTGCTTTTACTTTTGCTTTTGGCTTAGAATTTTTTCTTTTGAATTGTTTGCTCTTTTATTTTTTATTCTTTGGATTTACTCTGGACTTTCAAGGACTATAGTTTCTCTCTTTTTAAAAATTTTTTTCTTTTTTTTCCCTCCTCCCTTCCTGGCTGGAGGGGAAAGGGAAGTGACAATTGTGCTTTTTAAAATGGCTTCAAAGAGGCAGCAGCCTTCCTCAATACCTAAGGTTATTTCTTCTCCTATAACTTCCACTGCACAGCTACAACAACAATCTAAACATGTACCACCGGCTCAGCCACCACCCTCCCCTCCTCTATCTGGACTTTCAGCACAAGAGGTTAGAGGCATAATGGGAGAGATTGTAGTTCAAATGAGAGAGGAAATGAATCAATTTGTCTCACAGATTAAATCAGAAATTAAATCTGATCTCAAAGAAGAGATAACGGGGATAAAGACTAAATTGCAAGAAAACAATAATGAATTACGACAAGATATACTGGCAGCTGTTTCAGGTTTGGCTACTGTGGTGGTTAAGCTCGATGCAAGGCTTGAGGAAGTGGAAGACAAAGTTGACTCTTTGGATGACAAAATTCAAGATGTGGAAAGGAAGGTGGACTCCTCACAAGAAGATATTTTGATGTTTCAGTACAGACAAATGGAGTATGCCCTGAGGATCAGAGGCCTCAAGGAAGATGTGAATCAAGATCTCGTGGAGGTGGTTCTTACTGAACTGGCGCTGGCCTTGGATATGGATAAAGGAGAATTACAGAGAGAAGTGGAAAAAATTTATAGGCTCAACTCCTGGATTGCTAAGCAGAAGAACTTGCCTAGAGATGTGGTGATTTATTTTACAAAGAAGTCCCTGCGGAATGAGATTATACAAGCTTTTTACAATAAAAGATTTCAGATTGCTGCCCAAGATGTCATCATTCTAAAGGAAATCCCATCCAAAATTTTAAGAAGCAGGAAAGACTTTGCTTTTTTAACCAATGAGCTTAAAGCTAGATCGATGCCATTTAGATGGGAAATTCCGATGGGTATTGTTTTGAGCCATGCTGGGACACGCTATAGATTGAACACAGTTGATAAAGCTAGAGATTTTTATACTTCGGTCCTGGGTGCAGGCTCAACCTCATCTGGTCGGAAATCTCTGAGTGGCAAGGAAGTTGAGCAGCAATCTGAGGCATTAGATTTGGTTTCCGCTGGGATGATAGAAGCTGTAAAGCAACGCCAGACGGAGGTTAAAGAGCAGAGGATGACCCGTGCAGCCTATAAGCGTAAAGAGAAGGAGCAACGTAAAAAAGAGCCTAAAGAGAGTTCTCCTGGAAGTGCATCACCGCCGGTGGGAGGAGCAAGACCCAAGAGTTATGCAACACACGCAGCTCTTTCAGAGTTTGATGGTGTCTTCTCCAGGCTGCGTGCCAAGGGAGCTAAAAATATGTCTAGTCAGGAGAAGCAGATTTTGACTAACCTGACGGGTTTTGAGATTGTTAATAAGGTAAAATATTTGGGGGTGATGTTGTCTGTTTCTAATGTAAAATTATTTAAAAATAATTATGAAAGGTTGTGGGTCAGGGTACAGAAGGACTTGAAGAACTGGGAAAAGTTGCAATTATCCCTCATGGGAAGAATTGCAGTGATAAAAATGAATATTTTACCCAAGTTTCTTTTTCTGTTTCAAATGTTACCAATTTTGAAAAATGAGATTAATTTAAATGAGTGGCAGAAGGGTCTTAATAAATTTATCTGGGCAGGGAAAAAGCCAAGGGTTAAGTTTAAAATTATGCAAGACTTCCGTGAGAGGGGTGGACTTAAGGTACCAAATTTGAAATTATATTATGATGCGGTGGTTTTAACACTAATCAGTGATTGGGTAAATTTGACAAATTCTGAGATACTTTATCTAGAGGGATGGGATTTACTTTATGGGTGGCATGCCTATTTAATATTCAATAAAAAAATGGATTGGGCTTTTAAATCTCATATCTTAAGAATTTCTTTACTTAGGATTTGGAGAAAATATTATAAAAGTGATTTCAAAGTACCATTATGGGCTATACCTTGGCATGCGATAGAAGCAATAAAAAGAGGGGTTAAAATGGATATGGTGTCTTACAGACAGTTACTTAAATGGGATGGACAAAACTGGCAATTAAAATCACGGGAAGAGTTAGCGCAAGAAAACTTTATTTATTCTTGGTTCCAATATAGGCAATTATTAGACAGATGGAAGATGGATTGTAAGGTGGGTTTTCTTAGAGAAGATGAAAATCTTATCAAGCAAGTGAAGGATTCAAGACAAACCCACATTAAGAGAATTTATGCGGTTTTAGTTGAATTGGATTCAGAAACGGAACTAATTAAAGATTGTATGATAAGATGGGCGCAGAATTTTGGTGAGCCAGTCTCATTGGACACCTGGGAAAATATTTGGGTGAGAAATGTCAAATTTACACAAGCACAGAACTTAAGGGAGAATTTTTATAAAATGTTTTATAGATGGCACCTTGATCCACAAAAAATGTCTTATATGTACCCTGACGTGCAACCCAAATGTTGGAGATGTGGTTATAAGGAGGCTTCCTATTATCATATTTGGTGGTCATGCAGAGAGATAAAAGCATTTTGGATTAAAATATGGTGGAATATCCAGAGAATTTTTAGAAGGAGGGTAAAATTTACTCCGCAATTATTTTTGTTAGGTATTGTTACAGATTGTGATACAAAGGAGGTTGTTTTGATGTTAAATTTGATTACAGCCGCTAGGCTGTTAGTAGGACAATATTGGAAGAAGGAATCTTTGCCTACATTGCAGGAATGGTTTCTTAAAGTAGCTTATCTGGCGGAAATGGCAAAGATTTCGGCTTTCTTAAAGCAACAAACGCAAGAGAAGTTTCTTGCTGTTTGGGATAAATGGATAAAATTTATACAATTTAGATTGGGTATACAAAAATATTATATAGTTTTTTCATAAGTTTTATTTTCATATATATTATAGATAATCTTTTTATATATATAAATATAAAGTTCTTAATTTAATTTTTATTTTTACTTCTTAAGCCTATATTCTGCTCTGGGAAGCTCAGGGGGGGGGGAAGGGAGGGGGGGGGTTTGGGAGGGGTGGGGTTTTTTTTTTTATATATATGTATTGTTTAGTTTTATTTTTTTGTATATGTTGTCTCTTGTTTTGTATTCTTTTTTCTTTTTTGTAAAATTTATAAAACTTTTAATAAAAAAAAAAAAAAAAAACAGGCCATCATGTGACCAATCCAATTTTATGACCTTATTTTGTGGCAGTCAAGTAAATCACCATGGCCGTAAATGAAACATAATGCAATATAACTGCTGTATTTTTCATGACAGTTAATGCAACTAATTACAGTTGCAAATAGCTAATGTAACACTATTAAACTGTAGCCACATATATCTAGTATAACATATATTTTGTTTATATTTAAAACACACACACCACACACACACAGACATATGTGTAGGGAAAATATCCCTACATTATATAGGACAATAACATTTTAAATTTGACAATAACATTTTAAATTTTAATTTATGCTTGCCAAATTTTTCATTTTGTGACTCTACCTAGAACTCATTTCAAACTTCTACATTTCAAACCAACAGGATGACCTTTACAAATGTTAATTACTTCCCAGCAGGAAGTAAGAATAGGGAATGGAATTTCTGATATATGCAAAAGTCAGCATTGTTTGTCACTGGCTTTCCTGCAAAACTAGAGCTAAGTCACTGGAATATTTTGTATGTGTTTTTGCCTTGCACAATTACAAAAATTTACAAAATTCTGATTAATCTAAAATACATTATCTACTCTCGTTTAGTTCATGTTCTTCATAAAGAAAACATTAATACATGAAAAATTAGATGCTTGTTGTATCCTTAAATCAAGATAGTATCTTAACTTATACTAAAATACAACATTTAAAATATTATGGTAAAATATTAAAGTTGCTTACTTCAGATATACCTTAATATGACCACTACTAGAATGCAAATGACATGCTGTATTTTGCTCACACTGTGGGAAAGCTAGCATATGAACCATGAGCACATTTAAGCTATATTTCCTTTTCACATTTGCTTATCTTTATTTAAACTAGATTTGACTTTTCCCTGTCGCTTTTGTGGTATCTTCTCACCTTTTCATAGTACTTGACTTCATAATCCAAAATGATCCCATTCGGGTGTTCAGGTTCTTGCCAAGACAGAGAGATGCTGTTTCTAGAAGTCCGGTCCTTTCTGATTGCTGTAATAGGTGATGGAGCTAGAAGAGGAAAAAAAAGAAAAAGGTGGTTCAGGAAAGAAAACAAATGCACTAACCCTCGCAAAGAATAGGAGATTTGATTTAAACAGATCCTGAGTATAAACCTGGAATTGGATCAATCCTTAATAGCTGAATTGTAGACTTCTTATTCAAGCCTTGAAGCAGGACAGCTTGAAGGAAAATAAGTTAGACTTCTTCTTACTGGTACCACAATGGTAAATGAGCAGATGTTTCTCATCTGCTACAATAATGTAAGCAATGAAATTCAGTTGCTGTATTAAAATGTGAAGCCAAAAGGGGGAGTTTTGTCTATTCATTAGAATCTATGCTATTATTACTGAAATCTGCAACTCATTGATAATGTTCCCCCTGTCAGATATACAATGCAACTGAATACATTATGGACAAAATCCCAAGAGGTCCATTGTTAGTAATAATCATCAGCGGGCTGCAAAATGTCTTATTTTGGTGACATTTTCCATGTTTTCCAATATCTAACTCTGATTAATAAATTTCTCCCACATTTTTAACAATTTTCTATGAAGCTTAGTTAGACACCTATTTCAGTATGTTAACAGCCACACACACACACAAACACACAAACACAAAGAGAGAGAGAGAGAGAGAGAGAGAGAGAGAGAGAGAGAGAGAGAGAGAGACTAAAAATATGGTGATTTGTATGATGATGAAACAGAAATTTGTTAGATACAGTCATGTGATTTTTTTAAAAAAATACATTCAAATTATTATTCAGTTAAAGTCTTTACTGCCTATTGGCAAAATGTGTTATGACTATATTAAATCATTTTAATTTCATTGACTCTTATATAATAGAATTCCAAAGCAATATATACATTATATGTGCAACCTGATGTTTATAAATATATATATACTACGAATCCTGGAAAAAAAGTGGAGACCAAGCAATAAAGAAGATTTAAACATACTGATTTATAACAACTTTAATTGTTATAAACCAAATGCTGAATCAGTCTACTTTATCCAAATCTATATGAAAAATATATTAATTAAACAGTTTTTACTTTTTATTTTTATTGCATTGTTTGTTGAAAAACAGTTTTTAATTTGCCATCACAAGAAAATAAAATGTGATAAACTACTCATGTTGAGAGAATGGGGTATGAGATTTTCTAATTACTTCAGTCACAAGATGCCAAGAGATGTTTAAAGCTCATAGAAACACATACATCATTCAACCACATCTAGGTTAACCTGCTTAGCTTTCTTCATTGAATTAAATCCCAGGGGAAGACATCATAGTGCACTTCTAATGTGCTTTTTTTTTCAATTTGTAAGCATGACCAGGGGGTTGTAGGATTGATGAAAAAGTCCAAAGTACATTCCTGCAAATAAATCAATCAGAACAGAGCTGGAAGGGACCATGGAGGTCTTCTAGTCCAACCTCCTGTTCAAGCAGGAGACCATATACCATTTCAAATAGGTGGTTGTCCAGTCTTTTCTTAAAAGCCTCCAGTGATGATATACCTATAACTTCTAAAGGCAAGCTGTTCCACTGGTTAAGTGTCTTCCTGTTAGGAAACTTTTCCTTAATTCAAAGTTGCTTCTCTCCTTGATTAGTTTCCATCCATTGTTTCTTGTCTTGCCTTCTGGTGCTTTGGAACCTCTCTTTGTAGCAGAATTCCTGAAATACTGGAATACTACTATCATGTTCTACTTTTCTCTATACTGGCCATACCCAATTCCTGCAACTGTTCTTCATTTGTTATTGTCTCCAGCCCTTAATCATCTTAGTTGCTCTTCTTTGAACTTTTTCCAAAGTTTCAACATCTTTTTTACAATAATAATAATAACAATTTTGAAATTTGAAATCGTAACAATAAATTTTAAAAAATGATCTCCCAAACCATGCTAATTCTAAAACATGTACTTCCATCCTTTCCCCCGTTATGCTATTCCTTTTGGGGTGTAAAATGTATTATGCAAGAACAGAAAAGTAGAAAGCAGAAAAAAAAATCAAAAGGAGATAATACTGTATATATGAGAAGTAATCTTCACCAAACAGTTTATATTAAAAAAAAAAAGAATAAGGTAATACCAACTCATATTAAGAGCTAATGTAGTGTAGTTAAAGGCATTGGGGCTTGAAACCAGAATACTGTGAACTGTAGTTCTGCCTTAGGCACTAAATAACAGGGACTTTGGATCAGTCACTCTCTCTCAGCTGTAGAAAAAGGCAATTGCAAACCACTTCAAAAATAATGCCAAGAAAACTGCAGAAACTCATCCAAGCTGTTGCCAAGAGTTAATCTATATATTAAAATAGAAACATTGCTTTAACAGGAGAAAATAGCTTTCAGAAAATGGAGAGATAGGTTTCAGCTCAGAATGTATAACGTAGCTTAATGGCTCAAAGTGAGAGTTATAGGGTAGCTGGTCAGCTGTAGGCTGAATTATGGATTGCTGCTCTGAGGGAAAAGATGTAAAAGATGCAGCACATAGTACATGGACTAGCAAGATCATAATATCATGACTTTTATTTTTATTTACAGTTTTAACCAAGAGTTTGGAACTGTATTAGTAAATTAGTTAATAATCTGAAGTGGTTAAGAAAAGTACTGCACTAAATCTAGAAAGTTTGGAAGAACTGACATTTGTAGGAGAAACCCATACTTTTATAACCCCCCCCCCAATACTTGATTCTTGAGAAGAACCACAAGCTACTAATTGCTTAGGATTTCTATTAATAAGGTGATGCATACAAATTCAGTGGCATACACCACATTAAAAAAGGGAACCCTGCTTAAACACTACTCTTTATTCATAAATATAATTAGTTTTCTATGTACATTTGCTCAATTTTTTGGGAACCTCTGGTAGTTAGAGAATAAGACCTAAGGGATTATTCCTAAGTAGAGCATATGTACATAAGAAAAATAGTATTCACCTAATTGTAGCTTTGTGGATTTATCTTTGAACAAAGTTTTCGTAATTCAACAGAACTATCTTAATATAATTATATATATTATAATAATATAATATAAATATAATTAATATAATTCTGGTTCCTGTGTCCTTAATATGATGTTGTGTCTCAAGTCTGCGTGGGACCAACAGCCCTGCGCAAACTGAGACTGTAGATGAGCCCTCCCATCCGAACAGACTGGCATCTGTCGTGATGGTGATGCGTATCGGTTCCTTGAAGAGTGATCCTTTGGTCACAGCCCATGAGAACCACCAGCGAAGTGCCCTGCAAATGTGAACCAAAACCCTGACTTGGCGGTTGGATATGCTGGCATTCACCCGTTGGAAAGGTAGCAGGAACCATTGGAGGTCCCGCAAGTGGAGTCTGGCCCAGGGAACTATGGCTATGTAGGAGACCATCTTTCCTAATAGTTGGGAGAGTAAGACCAAGGGAACTGTATGTTCCCTGTATACCTTGGGAGCTAGCTCCCTGATGCTGACCACTCGCTCCTGGGAGAGATAGACCGTGCAGTTGGTGGTGTCTATCACGGCTCCCAGGTGTAAGAGCCTGGATGAGGGAACTGTCTGGCTTTTGGGGAAGTTGACTGAGAAGCCATATTGTTGAAGGACCTGAATGGTGTGTTTCACGTCCGCCTGAGCTGCCTGGAAGGATGATGCCTGAATCAGGATGTCATCCAGGTAACACTGGACGCGTATTGGTATCTTCCACAGCTGGGCGGCTAGCACAGTCAGGATTTTGGTGAACAGCCTGGGTGCTGAAGAAAGGCCGAAGGGGAGGGCCTTGTACTGGAAATGTCTGCCCCTGTAGCAGAACCTTAGGAACCGTCGGTGAGCTGTGTGAATGGAGATGTGGAGGTACGCTTCCATGAGGTCTATTGATGCCAGGAAGTCTCCCTGTCTGATGCCTCCCAGGATGGACTGGAGAGATTGCATTTTGAACTTTTTGTAAATGATGTAATGGTTGAGATGCTTGAAGTCCAGGATTGCTCTCCACCCCCCTGAGGCCTTGGGAACCACAAAGAGGATGGAGTAGAACGCCTTTCGCCTGTGGTCTGTCAGTACTGGTTCTATGGCCTGAATCTCTAAGAGATGTTGAATGGCCTCCTGCATGAGTCCCTGTTTGAGTGGATCCCTGGAAATGGAACAGATAATGAATCAGTTCGGGGGTGTGGTTAGAAACTCCAGGGACAGACCAAACTGAATGGTTTGCAAGACCCAGTTGTCTGTGGACGTGAGTTCCCACTGATGGAAGAAGTGGGTTAGTCTTCCCCCGATGGGAAGAACAGTGAAGGAGTCACTTGGACTTTCTATAGGGGTGGTCTGCCCCTCGAAATGGCCTCTTGGGCTGGCCCTGTTGTCTGGACCGGAAACCTGGCCTGTCATAAGGACGGTTGAACGGTCTTTCCTGCCTGAGAGTGTATGGGCGGGAGGGTTGAATGACTGTTGTACCCATTGCCTGCCGAAAGGGCTGTCTATGAAAATAGGGAGTGGGATGCTTGTCAGACTTCTTGTTTAAGTGAGTCATGACCTTGCACTTGTCCTTGTTCTCCACAAGGTATGGGGCCAAGGCCTCCCCAAATAGGTTTGTGCCAAGATAAGGGGCAGTCGCTAGACACCATTTGAGTTTGGCGTCAGCCTGCCAATGTTTAAGCCACAGCATCCACCTGGCAGTGATGTTGGAAGCAATAGACCTAGAGTCAAAAATGGTGGACTGAAGCATTGCATCCGCAGCGTACTCAGTGACTGCTACCATCTTGCTTAGGTCCTGGTGGGTCCGCAAGTCTTCAGCAGGTACTCTAGCCTGAAGTTGGCGCAACCATAAAAGGGTAGTCCTGACAAAGAAGGACGCACAGCTAGCCGTCTTAATTGCCCATGCCGCTGATTGATGGGTCTTCCGGAAGGTGTGTTCCCATTTCTTGTTGTCCACTTTAAGTGTCTCTGACAAATCCCCCACGATCGCCGTCTGGGATACCAGAGAGGTCCATGCTTCATCTACCGGCGCATCGGTGAGATCTGTGGAGGTGCTAAAAATCTTT